CCTTGAATCAGTGTTGTATAGGGCTGAGAAACTTGAATTTATTAATGATCGTCACCAATAGCTTACAAACAAGGTTTCCACTCATTGACGGCGCTTCGATGGATGGCGGTTGTGTAAAGTAAAAAATCACAACTGCAGTGGGTGATTGTAACAGAGGTTTACGGACGATGATAAACTCGATTTTCCAATGACTGTGTCACTTTCTGTTCCTACTCACCGTGTGATGCAATAACTGGACCTTACAGCCAATAGGCCCATAGCCCATCTCTTGGGTACGTATTATAAATTACCAATCTAAATCGTCTATAGTACTTCATTTCATATCGTAAGCCGTCATTTCGACAGCATTTCGGGTCATCTCCGAACTCAGCAAATATAAATTGTTATGATAAAATTGGATGACATTAACAAATAGCAAATTCCCTAATTAAATTCTGTATTTTTGTGTATATGTCTGTTGGTGACGCATTAATGTCCTAATTTCTCAGTGTTTCACGGAAAGGACAAGAGCACCTTTTTTTGATAAAAATGTCAATAAGCGGGGCAAAGCCCGCGGGTACAGCTAGTCAAAAATAAAGTAGTAAGCCGAGGTGAAGTTGTGTATCTGTGAAAACTAACCAGCGCATCAGCTGTTCTACTCATTACTGCCGAACGTTTTGAATACGACAATCAAACTTTTGACCGTTGACAAACTAACCTATAAATTAACTTGCGGAGTTATTGATTTTAATAAATTTGATGTAAATTAATAGTAATTGGGCTCATACAAAAATATACGAAAGTGACACATCACTGGTGTTTCGGTAAAATGACAATACGAATATATTAAAACGTAACTATGATTCATCTTCTTCATGGTGTTTAAGATGGGAGTAAATTTTAAAATTTATTATTATGTTTCATAATGAATTTTGGAAACTTGTTATGTTTATTCTTGCGCAAGGTTTCTTTTCACAAGTAGCCACTTTGCACATTAGTTACACGACTAACTATTGTTTTGGGTGTATCGTATACGGTACAAACACGTATTTTCTCCAGGATGATATGGCTAGTTTAAAGTAAGGTATTAAGACAAATAGAATTATAGCGAAATCAATGATAACTTACAAAATGTCGGTTGGGTTCTCTCGTTTATTAGGATTCATACTTTTCATTGGACATTAAATACATTTTAAAAAACGTTTTAAGTATAACACGTATTATTCTAGTCAATGAGGGGAAGTACAACTTGATGCCGGAAGCTTTTTCTTCTCCGTCAGCTGACTATTGTTACAGCGTCATCTGTAGACAGACCGACTCAGCTGATCTTAACAGACTCGAATCAGCTGATCCATCTGTCTGCATTTATTAAAACTAAAATCCTAAATGCACACTTTCATGTAATCGATCCGGGCCTGATATTAGGCCTACCTCTGGATTTTGTAAATGAAGCTCATAAACGACATGTTATGTCTTGTGAGTAATATTTTTACACTCATACCGTTGCTAGTAATTAAAAAAAAAATACCGGGCGAATTGTTAATGTTTTAACGCCGATGATATTTTAAAGTTTTTGTTATTGAATGGTCTTAACTGTGATCTTGTAAACAGTGAATCAACAAGCTTCACTAAACTAATCGGTTACTCAGACAACTGCGATTGTTTTATAAACAGTTTCAGGGATGGAGTAAAAAAACATCCATTTATAAACAAAATAAAATATCATAATTTTGAACTATTTAGTCTAAGAGTAGTTAAAAGACTAGATTACCTTCTGTAAAATCATGAAACCAGAAAAATATAACGTAGCCGGTAATTCAAAATTATGTAGAAAATTTAATTTTTGTGTTTCTTATACCAATTCAATTTTGAATCGACCCACCATTGAGCTAAGGACTAACCAACACAAGTAGACTTCTCATCGCATTGTAAATGTTCCCCTTGTTTTTCGTGTCCAGTTCATGTCTGGATCGCTAGTGTCGACGAAATTTTGTTTCGATTATTATCCATTAATTGCATGATTTGTGTTTTACAGTTTGGTTATATAACTAACGGACGATTTATGGTTTACGATCAGATCGTTTTATTTAATCAAACGAGGTTTTAAACTATTGAAATAAAAAGAAAAAAACTGTAAACAAAACACGACCTACTTCAGTGCACCGGACAGAACAACAACATATTATAAGGAGTAGAAATCTACTACTGGAGTACTTTTTATCTACGCTTATAACAGATGATAATAAATCAATCATGTTTCTAAGAATAGCCAATTATAGTTTGATAATAGTCCCTCACACTGTTCCCTGCACCCGTCACCGTTTGGTCCTCAGTGTCAGCTGTAATTGCCGGTTCCCAGCTGTTGTCTGTCGTCTGATCAGGACTATCGAACGCTCACACGTTCCCTCCCAAAATAACCGATGCCACTTCAATTTACTTTTAGCTCTGCTCTCTAATTGTCTCTTGTTTTGCCTCCTTTTCGACACGAAAGTCCCGCGACGCAGACGACTCGGCTAGACTGATTAGGACCGATTTACCACAGCGAGGCAAATAGTTTGAAAAAGCGTCGGTGAAGTTGTACTTTGGTTGTGTTCGGAGGTGTTGCGGTAGACAGTAGTTTGATGGTGATGTCATTATTGGGTTTTAATTTAGCTCTCATAATATTTATTCTTGCCTTGTAGCATATTTAAAACATGTATAAAGTCTACTTTCATTAGTATATGCACATCTTCATATTTATTTAAGCATTTATTTGTTGTGTCTTTTGTTAATTTGATTAGTGAAACCAATATTGCATTTAAATAAACCATGAATAAAACATACTCCCTTAGTTTCTCATCCTTATGGATCAGCTGAATACAATTTTATTGTTACTTCTGTCTGGTGCACTGTATAGGCCGTGGTTTGCTTACAATTTGTTTCTTGTTATTTCAGTCATTTAAAAACTCGTTTAGCCAAATAAAACGATCTAATCATAAACAATAACTCGTACCCTAGTTATACAGTATAACCAAACAGTAAAGCACAAATCATGAAATTGGCCCTAAAATGAATTAAACAAAATTTCGTTGATACTAGTAATGAGTCTCACCGACATGAACTAGACGGAAAAACGAGCTTCAAAATTTACAATGGGATGAGAAGTCTACTTGTGGTTAGTCTATGGTTGTAAAAATTAAAGTGACATCAGCTTTTGAATACCCAAGCTATTCTTTCTATCGTTGATAATTTTACCTTTAAAAAACATACCAAATTTCATTAAGATTGGTTGGGAAAATTCAAAGATAAAATTGATATGTAAAAATGCATAATGAATGCTGGCTATTTGGTTAAAGAAGTGTTTTTGGGAAAAAAATAATTCTTGATTTTCTCTTTGACTCAGAAAACCAATTCCCGGATTTGGCTGTTTATTTACGAAATAACCAGTGTGTTCTTTAACAAAATCAAGTTTCGTCCTATCTGCTATCAGGCCTCCTACTCTATTATTTTGTTGATTAACTTGCAGAAAAAGTCTTCTTACGATCTACAATATTTAGTTTTTTCAATACCAATAAACTACTTTTGGTAATTTGCAAGTGAGTTGAGCTTAGTTGTAGGGTTAGCTTCCCAGGTGCATTGCATTTTTTATGTCTAGTAGTTCCCTAATACGCTGTTTCAACCGTTTCAAAAATGTTCAATTTTTTCAAAGAATATTTTTTCATATCAAAACTTTTGCACTCAAATAACAACAACACATATAATACAAGTTTAGATAAATAGGGTCCTTTTAACCCATCCACCGAACTATTGTCATAATCACATCAACTAAAGACAAACATCACTTTACACGAACAAAACAAACAACCGAAAACGAAATTAGCTCAACGATACCGAAGAGAACTAACACATAACGTCAACAGCTATATACTGACCCACTTCGAGCAAACTGGTTTATCGATGCAAATCGAATTCGAGTTTTGGAGCTACCAGACCCATCAATAGTCTAAAGGGTACTTGATTCTCCTTTGTTAGACATCTGAGAGCTGTCAGCGGCGACCTTTGAGATGTGTCACTGACAAAACAGTTTAGAGAATTGGTCGATGTGAGATTCATGATTGTCAAATGTGTTTCTTTCGATCGGGAGTGAATGTAGAGGTGCTAAAGGTAGAATAAGACAACTAAACACGTTGAATTTTTGAATTTATAAATTTAACCTGCAGTATCGTGTTGATTTTTTGATCAAATACAGTTTGCTTATACTTAGCAGGGGAAGCGGATGGTTCGAGTTGAAGTCCCGCTTATCACCAATAGGTTTTACCTATGCGGTCATATTCTATATCCGCCACTCAGCCTACACTCATCCTTCACTCATATTTGGGTTAAAATACGCACATAGTGGAACCCCATCTTAAATAATTGATAATTGATAATCCTCTATTCTTGGTTCTGATGAAGATTGGAGTGCCCACATTGAATTAAAAACCGTTCTATATAATTTTTGTTATATTGTCCGTTAACTACTCCATGTACACAGAACATTCAGATATATTTAAGTGTTCCTTACTACGTGTTTTTATTTTGAATCCTTAATATTGTAAACATTATTTATTTAATTTTCCTCAATGAAAACCAATGCCTATTTAACATACATTAGAACTTTAGAGTTTAAAATAAACCTATTTACTGTTACACTGAGAAATAAAAACAAATGTGAGTATTTTAACATATGAGTGCAGAGTGCAGTTATATGCATTTGGTAGTTTTGTTAGGGATTAAGATCAGCTGTTTCTCCACTCAAAACCATTGATTAAATCCCAACGATCAAGGACAATTTGGTCCAGTTTCTAAATACTGTAGTTTTCTCCAGAACTATCTAAAGGCTTTACTTTTCTCGGGATCGAACTGGCAATTCTGAACATTTTGAACATGTGAACACTCTGACCTTACTCATCTGCCCAGCTACATTAAAACATCGATTTCTCTGTGCATGTTTTATTACTATTCCCAGTTTCGTAACCATCTAACACCAGATGATATTCCAGGATGCGGACCGTGGCAGAAGCTCTGTTCTGGTGCTCCTTGATCAACCTCCAGTCAGTCCTCACCCTCCAAGCTTCTTCCTTCCCCAGCAACCCTTTCCCAGGACCCTTCCCCAAGCTGACCAAGAACTTCATCTTCTCCACGACCAGCGTACTACCGGAGGATCTGGAGGTTTCAGTTCTCATACCTTCCAGCAGCAACTCCACGTAAGTGACTTAACATATTCATCTTTCAGTGCAGTTGTTGTATAATGTAGTCAATTCGTGAAATTAGAACAAACCATAAAATTAGAAGCCGAAAGATTAACTGAAATAGTTTTGTTTAACTAGTGCGCAAAGTGGCACTTTGCTGCAATTGAGAGAAATGTTTACGCACGAGCCGCAGGAGAGTTTGCGCTCTTGTTATGTATTTTTTTCCTACAGTTGCTATAAAGCACAAATAATGGGTAATTGTAAATATTTTCAGCTTAACCTTTACTATCCAATTTTACAAATTAACAAATTCTAACCTAAATTAAATTGTCTCACAAACAAATCAAAACCTACATGAAACTGTTTTACAAATTAGCAAATAAAAATTGGAATTAGATTTCACAAACATAATGGATCTAAATCTGAATATAATTTTTCATTTTTACTTTATCCGGGGCTATACGGTATATGGAGAAAATATAGTTTTCGTCAACATTTTCGAGTTTGAGTTTTGAGTGGATATGCCGTTTTGGGTCCCAATGAACCCAAAAAAATTGGGTTTCGAAGTGATGTCTGTGTGTGCGAGTGTGTGTGTCTGTATGTGTGGATGTGAACACTGTTCAGAGCTACAGACTACACCCGTAGTCCGATTTTGATGAAATTTGGTATATAGGTACTAATCCATTTTCATTTTTTTGAAATTTTATTTTTAATGGTGATTTTCCTATGAAAACCCATAAAATAACGGAAAATCGAATTTTCTAAAAATTGCCCAAAAAGATTTTGATGCAAATTTAGTATTTTGTAGCCCTTTAAATTCTAAACGAAATGGTAGAACTCCAATTCCTGTAAAAATTACGGTCCAAAAGTTATTGTAAATTATGTTATTTTCCCATTTAAAAAAAAACCATGAAATAAGAGAAAATTGTATTTTTGAACAAAGCTGGTTTTGATTGAAATTTGTATGTGATGCTACTTATAATTCTAACAACATAGTGCAACCCCCCATTGCTGTAAAAATTTGGCTTCAAAAGTTATTGTACCTTTGTTATTTTCCCATAAAAGCCCATGAACAAACGGAAAAATGAACTTAAAAATAACTATTCTGATTGTAATTTGTTTTTATCACCTTTATAGTTCCAAACAAAATAGTGCAAAAATAGCATTCCTGTAAAAATTATGGTTCATAAGTTAACAAAAGTTATTAACAAAATTACGTTTATTAATGTTCATGTTAACACTTAACAACAGGTTTATCGGTTAAGAAAAGTTTCAATGGTCAAATGGAATGACAAATAAACACTGCACCAGCTCATCGACTTAGCAATGCTGCCAACATGTTTTCAAGCTGACTTGTATTACCTATGTTCCTAATATACGCACACTATTTTGTGCTGTTTAGTTTAAATACTAGAATGCGGGAAAGTAAAATGAGTGCGACAAAGTGAAATGAGTGCTAGAAAGTAAGTAAACTCATGAACTAGCTACTTTGCGTGCTATAATTAGTGAAAGAAAGTCCACTTTTTAGGTAACTCACGGAAAAACAATTTCTGACTGCTTGTTCATTATCCTTAGCTCAACTCGTATTACAGGATAATTCGACCATATAGGGCATAGTTCGCCATATATTTTGTTGCATTTTCATACTCTTTCACATGTTCATATCACTTAATATCAGGACTCGCCTACGCCTAACCTCTGTTCGTATTCGTTGATATCGTTGCAGGAGATCTCAACTACTTCCAGGAAGCAGAAACACTGGAATATATAAATAACAACTCTCCGATCAGCTCTTGGAAACTTGGACCAATTTGCATTAGGCTGCATAGAGAAGTTCTGATGAACTGTTTAAAGATTCAAAGCAGTTCTGCATTGTAATTAGTGTATGAACAAAGTTACTTTTTTGGCCCGAGTCTTGAGCGATAGACGAGTTTTCTCAAATAGTTAGTACTTTTATATCTGTAATCTATTCTATGTAGTTCTTTGGTGTTTGTCAATTTGTGTAGTCAATCAATACTTACCATTTATTTCCAACCTGTATTTGACGTTTTGTAAAGTATTTCTTTGAATATCGTGCTTAACTAATTGTTTATTCGTATAAATATACTAAAATTTTGTAAAATCTGTCGTATGATTACAGATATCTCCACCTCCATCACGCCAATGGTCCACTCACTCTCATCATCAGACCGTGCAGTGGAATTGTCAACTCCACCGTCTACCACATACCCCAGTCAAACACTTCAGGCTTCTGTAAGTATACACTGCTATGTAAGTTATAAAGCTGGACTAGAACCGGACAATATTCCAAGTATTAAAGAAGGGTCAGAACTCCCTTTTAGAATTGTTAAAAACTCGGGCAAACAACCGAGTTTTGTTTGGTCTCCTAACCTAACTAACCTAATCTAATCCAACCTCACTTTTAGTTATGCACTGAAGTGTCTTCAAACGAGCAGAAAGGTTATTCAGTATACGCTTGACCCTATTGACCTGCTTCCCTAAGTTATTTCGTTGGTAATAGGAGGAAAGGTAAACAAAATGAAAAATGACATCGCCAGGAAGTAGTGTTTACTACGGTGTAGCTTAAAGTCCATCAGTAGCTCTTTGATGGTTCGAAACTGGGCCCAGGTGTTTCTGATCATTGGGCTTTAAACAAATGACCCTAACTAATGAAACCGCTGATCTTAGTCAGTAACAAAGCTACACAGGTCATCATTCTACACTCATCCTTCACTCATATTTGGGTTAAAATACGCACCTAGGTGGCGTCCCCATCTCAACGATTGATTATTATTGATTATTGACTATGCTGATGCTTGATTTTGCTTCATGTGACCAGAGATTGCTTTTCTCGTTATACAGTAATCACTCCAATTGCAGGTACAGATTTGGCTGTTAAAAAACTTTGACCGAAGTGTCAGATGAAAAATTTTCAGATTGGAGGATCAATTGTAATATCTACGAGACTGGATTAGCTACCAAAATGGACTCAAACACCCCTCGTCAGCAATCCCATTTCCATTACGGATCCCAAGCCGGCAGCATTTTAATGTTTCGGCGCAATGCCAATCACAAACGCCATATTAAATCAGAAATATCCATCTTTATGTCGTAGGTATTGTTGAGCGTATGCGTTGCGTTTATAAACCATCAACGGAGCTAGTCGAGCGGATTTTATGTAATGCGGTGTTTTGAAATGACTTCCAATCAAACAAGTTACTCTCTGCACGCAAATGCTGACGAGGTATTTGTTTGTAGGTTACAGTTGCTTTAAGGATTCTTTCGGATTTAGATTGTTTTAAAAAGTTTAAAAACTTAATAAACAGTAATAAATTATTCATTAGAACGATTGCTTGACGATTAAAGTGCATTACGCATACTTCAGAATACATAATGATTACTAAGATGGATACATAAGAAAATATATCTATACCTATAGTATCAATAGCCTCACTCTAATTCTTGACAGTAAATTTTTGACAGCCAATCTACAAATCATGATGATAGGTTTCCACGGAAGTAGATTTTCCAATCTTGTTTTGCGATGGATGAAAGTTTTATTACATTGGTAAAGATATAGTTTGTATAAATAACGAAGGCTGTTGTGTAGGGGATGAGACATACCTGATGCCAATGAACACAAACCTTATTAATTGGCTACAGTTATGCCTTATCCCCAACCACCATGGTTATTTGACCAAACTATAGATACAGAGACCGTAGTTGCGGATGCTTTGCAACGATTCTTCTTCGGGGTAGCTACAATTCAATGGTTCGAAACTTGGCACAGCTGTTCCTGATCATTGGGCTTTGAATAAATGATCATGACTGATTAAAACAGCTGATCTTAGTCAGTAGCAAAGCTCCGCCGATCCTCCACTCATATTTGGGTTAAAATACGCACCTAGGTGGCGGTCCCCATCTCATAATGATAATGTTATTGATCACGGTGGAAGGGAAATCATGTTAAGTACATGTTAAGCAACCTGCGTCACCTTTTGGCTTCAAAATTCGTGATATATTTGATATATAGTTGATAACGATGTAAACTATCATGTCTCATCATATCCCTATTATTTGCATTGCGAACCCTATTATTTTCATTGCGTGTGCGATCTCTTCGAGGCATCTTAGAAACATTACAAATACTAACGAAACATACTATGAAAACACACAAAGTCCAACGTAATCTTCTTTACATTTTACACAACTAACATTACAATATTTTACTTGAATTCCGTAAAACACCAATAAACATATAAAAACACAAAATCCTCTCACAACACAATATCTAACGTAAATCATTTTCTTCTTTACATTTTACACAACTAACATTACAACATTTTACTTGAATTCACTCTGAAACATCACAAACTAAAGGCAACCCCATTTTCGTAAGGATGTAAACAAAATTGTATCATGGCCATCTGTTTTGATGTAAGCAAATGTAAACTTGAAAAGGTTAAGATGATTGACAACCGAATTCAGCACGAACTCTGAAATTGCAAAAGCCTACAGGACGAAGGGATTTCTCGGGATATCATCCAAACCCGCACATCAAAAAGGCACATCTAGAGGAAAAGAGCTTTAAATTGATACCCAATATGTCAAATAAATATTTAGGCTTCAATTTGCTGCACACAAAAATCCAACAAATTATTTTAATAACATAGATTCAACTTCATAAAGTAAAATTTTCAACAAACAATAATTACTGCGGGGTTTATTTTTTCATAAGATGGACAGGGAGGTTTGAATGGTACTAAAATATCTGTGTGTCGACCCGTTACAAGCTGAAAGCTTGTTTTATTTCCCATAACGGACCAAGCTAGTAGGCCCTGGCCTGCCTGCGCATGCAACCAAGCCTCATCTCTTCATGTCAAGCGGTTTGCGGCGCTTAAACTTCGTTAAAAACCGCTTGGTAAATTATTGCGTTTTGTGCGTCACTCTGTGATTAGAAAAACATAAATGTGAATCACGACTGTGGTAAGTTAGTCGTGATCTAGTTTTTGCGGTCGGGGACTCAACTGCAGGAAATTACTTCATCTCAACAGCGCTAACTATGGGATTTTAACGTATTTAAGGATAATGGAGTTAAACTTCTGCTGGATTTCCTCAATGGTGAATATAGCATATCTGCTGCTAACATCTCAGTAACATTATCGCAAGTGTAGTGAAGTATGTCAGGTAATGTCGGTTGAGGGTAGTTGTTTGGATCCTTTCCGTTCAGATTTTAGGTCGTATGACGTATGCATGGGTTGAAGTAACCGGGTAGGCAGAGAGATAGAGATAGAGAGACGAGATATTAACTAGGCGCCTAAAAAACTAAACTAATCCAGTCTAATCAAATGGTGAGGTTGGCTCATAACTTGCGGGTATATTCATCTTACACATCTTCTAGTTCACTTCTTGAAAACTATGGTAAGGGACCCTGCGATGCATGTCAGCTGTGTCAAAAATTTCAACTTTTTAAGTCCCAGAATACTAAACTCATTAATCATCTACTACCCATCAAAGCTTGAACTCCATCGCACGGACCTAAGGCCTCCTGATGAATTCTATCAATTTTCTGGTCCCTCCCGATAACAATCTTTGTACCCTCACTCCTTTTTCCGAGGCTGAGGACTATCACATCCAAATTGCATCCTGGATCAACATACTATCAGTGTTTGCAAAAGACTACATAGGAGGCAGGTCGGAGTCATCTCTGGCCATGTCTCGGGGGAGGTCCCAGCACGTCTACTCTTGGGCCTCCGCCCCAGCGGGTCTCTACCTTCTGGACCTGGTGGCCGAGGACCATCACATTCAAGATACATCCTGAGTGACCACGTGTTTGTTGCAGTAAAGGACTATATAGGAGGCAGATCGGAGTCATCTCTGGCCATGTCTCGGGGGAGGTCCCAGCACGTCTACTCTTGGGCCTCCGCCCCAGCGGGTCTCTACCTTCTGGACCTCGTGGCCGAGGACCATCACATTCCAGATACATCCTGAGTGACCACGTGTTTGTTGCAGTAAAGGACTATATAGGAGGCAGATCGGAGTCATCTCTGGCCATGTCTCGGGGGAGGTCCCAGCACGTCTACTCTTGGGCCTCCGCCCCAGCGGGTCTCTACCTTCTGGACCTCGTGGCCGAGGACCATCACATTCAAGATACATCCTGAGTGACCACGTGTTTGTTGCAGTAAAGGACTATATAGGAGGCAGATCGGAGTCATCTCTGGCCATGTCTCGGGGGAGGTCCCAGCACGTCTACTCTTGGGCCTCCGCCCCAGCGGGTCTCTACCTTCTGGACCTGGTGGCCGAGGGACGAGACACCCAAGTCACCCTCTATGCCACCAAACTACCCGGAGTGCCCGCGGTGTTAAGGATCCGCCAGACTCCCAGGTTGAGGCTACAACCTCGTCTTCACCGGAACAAAGTGACTCTCCGTTGGGATCAGAGGTAACACATATTCCCCAAGAAATAAATTAAAATCATGATATAGCCAAGATACGACTTGTCTAGTAAATAATAAGCTAATCATTCTTTTTTTTATAACCCTAGTTCAATTCCACGAATAGTATTGCAAATTCCCAACAGATGGGCATAGCCATGAAGTTCGGAAATGAGGAGTCAACTATCTTAATAACGTGTTAAGGGTTTCAGATTATGAAAACTGTTTATATTCAGCACCTCCCACAATGGAAACCTCTAACAATTTTGAATGGTTGAATTTTTCTAAGAGTCAGATTTTGCCCTATTTATAACTTCAAGGCCTCTGCAAAAGTATTTACAGATAAAGCCACCAAAACCAATGTAAACTATACAAAGAATATAGATCATGAAACTCATAAATACAGTATAAAATAGTATGCAAATGGGCAGAACCTCCAAACAATACATCATTTGTAAAAAAATATAAAACAACAGACAAATAAATAAATGATCATGAAGAAATGGACATTAACACCCCATGAAACGTTTATGGATTAAGGACATTGTTATTAAGGTACCTGTATTATACTAGGTAACCTTTTACATTTTTCCTACTCTTTGAGAGACATTTTGCATCTTAAATAAAGCATTGGTGAAGCACTGCTCTTTTAAACTAACATCCAATCACTGCAGCAACGTGTTTCTTTATTGCACAATACAATGTATTACGTTTTTGAGCACATTGCTTATTGTGTCAAGAACATTTTTTTTTTAATCTGTTATAAGCAGTTTGAATCCGTAAACAGTTTTTAAAATAAGATCTATATTTCATTTAACAAATTTTGTAACTAAACTACTTAACATATTGTGCTTTGTTTTACGTATTTAATTCATTAACAAGGTCTGGTCTTTTAAATCGTGTTAGACCGTCAGACGACGATGGTTTTATGATTTTGTACATTTACGCAACTTTTTAAATGCCAGTGCTGTACGTAGCATTTTTAGGCGCATAAAATTCTCGTACAAAGAGGCTGATTAAATTCAAGAATGGGGACTTATTTTTAAATTCAAGCAGGAATTTCGCCATCTGCGAATTCTGGATTGTATACGTATAGGGTAGGCCTACTTTGCTCATTTCGTTATACACTTATAGACCTATGATCTGTGGATATTGGAGACCATTCAAACCAGGCGTCGAGGAATGGTCAACAACAGAAGACTGAAGCATCCATAGTTAATTTTATTTAAAACGTTGGCCGAATGCAACTGTATCCTTCGATATCGTTGTTCTTTGCCAATTTCACCAAGTTGAAACAAAAATCCAAAAATCCATTAACTCAAATACAGCCCTAAACTGAGCTTATGGATTTCAATAATTGAAAGAGCAAATAATTAGTTAAATTATAACCTTAATCCAATTACATTATGTTATTTTAAGCTTGGCTATAAACAAGGTAAACATATGTTAATGCCTTCTGCCTTAAAGTCGTAATTGGAAGATTTGAACCCTGTAATTTGGGGTCTGACATAAATAAATTAGTTATCCTGAAAACTTAAGAATAAGTATAAAACTAAACTTCACTTTTTCTGCAAAAAAAACACAACATAGCAATGTAAAAAAAGGTTTCCAAAATGACTCATTGAACAACCTCATTCTATACGTCATGGGTAATTAAAGCCGTGATGCAGTAACTGGTTGTTTGTACTCTTGTCACAGTTTCATCAGGCGGACGCGGGTTTTGGTGCGCGATAGGCACGCGCGTGCTTTTGAGTTATGACCATAGACGTCTCCTTCTAGCCACACTTCCCGGCAATAATGGTCTAGGCTTTAAGAAATGAGAAACTCAGCTGTGCTACAACAATGGTCTAGGTTTTGCCAACTGTTGGAATAACTGTTCCCAAAAATGAACTAGGTTTAATAAAATGTCAAATTCAACTGTTTTCGACCATGATATAAGTTTTCTCTTCGGCCAAACTCAGATGTTCTACAGCAACAGTCTTGGTAAATTAACTTTCAAATTCAGCTAGTCAACATCAATTATTGCATATGTATTCCAAATACCAAACTCAGCTGTTCTACAACAATGAAGAGTCTCACGACAATCAAACTCGTGGTCAAAATCTTCCAATTTTTCTCAAATGTCAAACTCAGCTGTTCTTCAACAATGGTCAAGGTGTTTACCTAATTTCAAATTAGCTATTATTACTGACTAGCTGTTAACCACGGGCTTCACCCCGTTTGACTTCATAAGTATTAATAAAACTATTGATTGGTTAAGTTAAGCTGAAATTAACAAAACAGAATACAGTAATACAAACAAATAATCACACCTGATTTTAATAAGGTAATAAATTGAAAGAATAACAAACAAATAAGTACAGCTGAGGTATTTTTAACATTAGGTATATGAAAAGTTCCCTTTAGAAAGGAATTACGATCTTAAAGGGCAATTTATGAAATAATGGATAGTTTTGCGCAAGGTTTCTCGTCATAACGAACATTTTAAGTATATGGTTTATGGGAGTGTGACTTGTAGTTTTCTCAAAAGTTCATGGGTACTTTGGGATTAATATATGGATAAAAGCATACCAAGGGGCAGATTTAAATCTGAATACTAATTCGAAGAAAGTGTAGAATAGAGTGAGATGATCTAGCTTTGTTACTGTTTAAGATCAGCTGTTTATTTAGCCATGCACATTTTTTAAACCCAGTGATCAGGGACAGCTGGGTGCAGTCTCGAACCAACGGAAAGCTAACGGACTTTACCGTATCACATTGGTGTAGAATTCTTCACTAAGCAAAATCTTAATAAACAGTGACGTGGTATTGACTGCGATTATAGCTCGATTTCGAGCAGCGCACAACCCGTGGTCGGCGGCACTAGGAAGACAGCTGCATTCCTGATGACGGAGTGATTGACACGTTAAACAGACATTATCATGCGCGGCAGACACACACCACACAACCAGATCAATTACCGATACCTCCGCGTACCTACTAGACCCCACTAGTGGACAATCTACAACCGTGTTTAATTACGTGACTAACTACCTGGGCAACTGACTAATTAGGTATGAAACTACGTGACTTATTACCTACGGTATCGACGAAAAGTGTTGCGGCATACTACGAGACCTCCTATTAACATATACTAGTGGTCGTCCTGTGGTCGAAACTCGACCAAAAATAATTAATGTACAGACTTCTCTATTTTCTCCCCACACTGTAAATAAAACATGTGATTGGGATTTCTTCCATTTGTTTTGATTTTCTGTTTACATTTGGTTGTTATTTCGTCACCATCATGGCAACCCAGTTGTTCCATGTAAATTTTTTGAAGTTTTCAAATTCGTTTTTTGTGCTTATTTTTTAGCCTACTTTAATTTATAAAGGGATTCTGCACATCTACAGGCAAATATCTTTCTAACAGTATGCATAGATTTCCCCTGCGATGCACACGAGCTGAGAAAAAGGGTTTTAAAGAAACATGCTTGCCTATTAATATATAGATAGATACTTACGGTAAAAATTGCTTTACTAAACCTCTGTGTGAACTTCATGGCTAAATTACTAAAGTTCAAAATATTACATTTTAGTATTTTTTTAAGGATATAGTATTCCTTCACAGTATGAACTGCGTGGCCAAATAACTACTGTGTAAACGAAATGGCAAAATAACAACTGTAAAAACTAAGTGACTAAATAACAGCTGTTGGAACTAAAATGTCCCACCTTCACATCCTAGGACGCTAGGATCTAGGTTCTAGCCCGGAACTGTTTAACGCAATACTAGAGGTTAGTCCTAGAGGGTTGCGGCATTATCACATGATAAACCAATTGGTGATTGGCGGGATTTGAACCCAGGGCCGTTGGCTCTGAAGCCCCGAGCCCTACCACTAGACCAGCTTGCTCCCTAGGTAACTAAGTAACTAAAAAAAACACCTGTACGTTACCTGAAAACTTTCAATATTGGATACATTTTTTTAGAAATGAGACAATAGTGCATATTAAATGTTTAAGCTTTTCCGTGGCCCACATTAGTATGATAGCAAATATCACGTTTCAGTCCATCCTTTACGTTTGATGTACTCATTATTCACATTTTTTACCAAACCCTCTCTTTTGATTGATGGAGGTTTATGACATTTTGCAATCCAGTGAGCAAAATGTAGTTTTGCAGCTCGAATAAAAAATAATCGTGTTTTTCATAGACGAGGAGCTTGTTTGGCCTTTTTTCGCCGGCAATCGTTCTTCCGCAGACAAGCCTCGGAGGTTTGTACTGGTGTTAAAAACTCGATCAGCATTCCACCAGTGACTTATCTATTAAACAAGCAATGATGAAACTGTGTACAAACTAGCAATTCAATTAAATCGGATTTAAAACATTCTCGAGGAAAAAACACGTCAAACGTTAAGGTAGGTCGGTACTGGCATTGCTGATGCGAGCGGGCAAAAAGCCAGCTGAGAATGGGCTGCGCAGGGTTGCTGCTACCGGGAAACGTTAGTTGTTACGGGACCTGCGTTAGTGGGTAAACAGAAGTAGCTTTGACACTAGGGAACATTGTGCGCGTCTTAGACACAATATTTTACTTTTATCACTTTGTATATACCGACAGTTAGTTGTATATATATATATTTTTTATATTATATGAACATTTTAGATTTAAGTTAGTTAGTTAGGAGTTAAAGTGTTGAATAACTTAAATATATTTTTTGATTTGGCTTTGGTTGTAGCGCCTTGCAGTGTTGGCGTCATAGTTTATCAATTAATCAAAATCTTCTGAAAACATTAGCACAATTTTCTCTCCACGCTTTTCTGCACATTTCCCTACGTCAACGTGCAGTTTCTATATGTTCTGTGTACAGAATCTTGCAAAAACGTCTTTCTGCACAAATAAATCAGCAGGAATCATCTGCTTATTTAATATGAACATATACCTTCACTGCAGTCATTTAGCCTTCGATGTGGCATCTTAATTGATCAATTCGTAAAAATCGTTCAAAAACGTGAAGACTTTTATATTCGCTCTTTTGGCTCGATTCTTCAAGTTCTTCGTACAGGAATGGTCTTAAAAATAACGCATTTTGTACAGGGATCGTGGAATCTTCTGGAAATTTAACATGAAGATATTCCGACGCCACATTCAGTACGTTATATGTATTAATCCAACAACTTCGGCGTCAGTTCAGAAGCAGGGCAGCAGCCGCGGGCGTGCGAAGGACCTACGGGTGTAACTCATCCACTTTATAGCTTATACAAAGCGTCGGCCTGCCTCTAGCCACACACCCCATCACCCAAACATTTATGGGCTTACACATTTTTATGGTAATACGATTTTTATGGTCCTTTAAACCCGAAGTCATTACAAGACGAGTGAGAACAGGAAATTACAAAACCTCTTGTTTTCGAACGTTTGATCACGCCGAGCCTTCTGTGCGTCTGGACTATTGTGTTTACTATGAGTTTCATCATGTCTAGCATACTGTGGGTCTGAACCAAACGTGTTAACTCTCAGTTTGATCACGTCTAGCCTACTGTGGGTCTGAAGCAAGTGTTTAGTCTGAGTTTCATCTCACTGAGCCTTCTGTGGATCTGAACCAAACTAGTTTATTCTTAGTTTGATCACGCCTGCACTGTAGGTCTGAACTAAACGTTTTTACTCTGAGTTTGATCACGCCGAGCCTACTGTTTACTTACTGAGGGGTTGATCAAGTCTTGCCTACTGTGAGTCTGAAGCAAAAGCAAGTGTTTGCTCTTAGTTTCATCACACTGAGCCTTGGGTGTGAACAAAACGGAGTTTACTCTGAATTTGATCACGTAGAGCATTCTGTGGGTCTAAACCAAGCGTTATTACACTGTGTTTGATCACGCTAAGCCTACTGTGACTCTGAACCAAGTTTACTCTGAGTTTATACCTGAACAAAACGTGCTACTCTGAGTTTGATCACGCCGAGCCTTCTGTAGGTCTGAACCAAACGTGTTTACTATGAGTTTGCCTAAAAAGTTTCATTACAATCTGTGGAGCGGTTTCAGAGTCCATAGGGATATACATACATAGGGCCTACATACATACAGTACATACTTCCTCTTTCATAGATATACAGGGTGTCCCACGTAAGATGTCTCAAATTGATTACGGAAAAACGGGTTTAATGTACAAGGATGAAATAAAATTATTTCCCGATAAATCAACCCCAAGGAATAACGTAAAATTAATTTCAACTTTTTGCCGGTACAGGGTGTGCCAAAAACTGAGGGTCATTAGTTCGAATCTCTGAATTTTAAAGCGTAAACATATGTCATGTTATGCATAATTTTAAAGGCATTTATTAGATACACATTTTGGCAAAACAGAAATTAATTATCTTACTCCGTTTCAAAATGGCGGCAGTTTTTTATTATTATTTTTTTTATTAATATGTGTTTAATACTCTGTGTTTCCTATACTGATGCACTTAGCCCTTCTCCGGTTGTATTTTCTTACTTATTATGAAATTAGCTTTACTGTGATATGCTACAAGTAAAGGTTTTTTGAAATAATAAAAATTCAAAAAAATTATTTTTGAAAATTTGCAAATGCCCATAGTTCAAAATGTTCAAAAAGAAACATATGTCAATAGGCACATCATTTTATAGGTTTTTAATTCTAAACAGATTTGTGATTAACACTCACTTTTTTTATCTCTTTTAGTTTTTGTGTAAATATAAAAAAAAACTAATTTTCCTATATCAATGCATTTTATTTGGGTTTAACACTAATGGCCCCATTTCAGAAAATTAAATTTAGTGTACAAACTAAATTTTTTTAATATATAATAAATAGATATTTTAATAAATTGTATTTGAGAAACTGGGAAGACTTTATGTATTGTGGGGTTTATCATGGGGATTTAGCCTGTGTATGGGAATCATTCCATCACATGATTGATTTTGTAGACTCTTGTCGATTTTATCAAGTGAATGAGTTTGTATACTTTCATGGCTTTAATCTTTTGGGATAAGCTATATAATGTTATATATTTGTATACTAATTTTTGGGATTGTGACATGAGACAAGTTTGTATACCGTAGATTTGATCATTTCTTCATTCGTTATCAGTTTGTAAGCTGTATATTTGATCTTATGGGACCATATTTTGGTAAACTGCGTGTTTCATAATGAGTCTAATCAACAAAATAAGAGTATCAATAAATCAATACAACTGATAGCTTTCTTCAGGACGAGTCTATCAATTTGATGGGCTTCGTTAACTCACTTAGCATTCATCCCCACTTAACATAATCCCTCATCAGTTTTCATTTGTTAATTACTTGCTTAGATAATCACTTTATGATTGAGAAATAATTTTAGAAGATATATACTCAATCATATACGTTAATTTTTATTTTTACAACTGACCGTTGCAGTGTGGTGGATCCTCAAATGATGCACTACTTTGTCGTGGTCAACTCCAGACAAAACTTCTCTAGTCTGTGTGAGGCTAAACAGCCTGTGGAAGGAGTGAACATTCTGTATCTCAGCGAGAAACCTTCCAGTCAGGAAAATAAGGTGCACAAGAAGGATATCGGAGTCAGCAACCACTTCAGGGCCATCGGCACAGTGCTGGACAAGGATGATGTTTTGGTGAGTTGTGATTTGGATTGGTACGTTATTATTATAAATTATGTTTGAATCTGCTTAGAAATGTCCCTAGATAGAAACAAAATTTTGCAGCAACTTTATTAAAAGTTGCAATGATAAATGATAATGTTTGCAACAAAATTGTCATGGCAAGCATGAAGTTGTGTCAGCTTTGCGGCAACTTAACTAGTTTGTTTGTTTGAGTTTTTTGCCGAAGCAATCTCGACACCTAGAAGCATCGGCTCACGGCTCACCAATGTTTCATATTGGCAAAGTTTTCATGCACATTTGAAACAAAGTTATTATGGCAAAGATGCAACAAAGCTATCATGGCAAAGTTGCAACAAAGTTTTGGTAACTTTTCCAAACTGAGCTGTTAAATAGTTTGTAAATAATTTATTCTATATTAAGATAATGCTAAAAGAGTACTGAGTAAAACATTAAGGGTTTTTATGAGCCAGAAAAAGACATTTTCTAATGTAACCATAAACAACTCAAAATAGGTGAATGAAACACCTAAGAGAATTTAAATAATCAGGTCGCATAAAAGATTTTTATCAATGCCATTGGCATAAAAAAATGTTCAAAATTGAATTAAACTGAGTGGCAATGAACCTTATCTGTTAACACAATAACACAGTTGTTGATACAGAACAATTCTATAAACTCTAACATAGGCTGTAAAACCCCCGTAGAAAAGGGTTAGTAAACTGAACTCGTAAGTTTCTTATTTAAACTCTGTGAAACTAAAAAAAGCCTTTCTAAATATTTCAGGTATGCGGTTATCAAACTATACAGTATAATCAGGTTTTTTATACTAAATTCTATTAACAATCCTATAAATCAACACTACAATTCCAATACTGTCAATAACCAACAACAAAACTTATTGTATTATCTGTTTATCTTTATCATTCACTAGCTGTACCCGCGGGCTTTGCCCCGCTTAACTTCATAAGTATTCGCATGGCTCAATCACTTCCTGGTTGAAGTTCGTTCGCTACGCTCACTCACCTTCAGGTTGGAAATCGTTCGCTGCGCTCACTTGTTTTCAGGTTAGCTCGTTCGCTACACTTACTCGCCTCCAGGTTGATGTTCGTTCGCTACGCTCACTCACCTTTTTGGTTGCAAATTAGCTGTTGTCATAAATTTAAAAAAAGTCATCCCTTTATAATACTTGTTTATAATACTTTGATAAAGGTTTTTATGTTTTAATATTTAACATTGGAGAATTTAAACGTTGTTCAGTGCACAGGTGTGCTGCGATTGGGGTTTAATACATTTGGACTTATTAAAAAGTAAAATAGTTTTCTGTGCTGCACTCTGTAGAAACACTGTGGCACTATTTCAAATCACGACTAATGCTAATACAGAATGTTGTGATTATTCAAACCTACAAAACACAGTTGGTGAAAGTAAACATCTGCTTTTAAATTATATTTATTTGTAAACATTGTAGATCAAAAAGTCTGACATTGGCCCACTTAAAACCTTCTAGGGCAGAGCCCTTTTGACGGATCTGCACCAAACTTCACTCGAACCATCCTTGAAAGATGCTTAACAATGCCTGAAAGTTTCATTACAATCTGTCGAGCGGTTTCGGAGTCCATAACGTATATACACACACACACACATACATACATACATACATAGTTCCTCTTTTATAGATATAGATTATCAATTGAGAAAGGGTTATCCTGGGTGCATTTTATCATAGACTAACCGTTTTATCTATGATTTTATTTACCCAAAAATGAGTGAAGGATGAGTTTAACATTGGAGTGAGAAGCATTGAGATGTTACTGGCTAAGACCAGCTGTTTAATTATCCAGGAACATCCTACTAATATTATAAACGAGAGCACGCCCCGTGGTCGAAAAATCGACCAAAAGTATGTTTTGTACAACCTTCTCTATTTTCACCCCACACTGTAAATAAAACATGTGATTGGAATGTCTTCCATTTGTTTTGATTTTCTGTTTATATTGTGTTGTTATTTCGTCATCACCATAGCAACCCATAATACCCATGTTAATTTTTTTAAATTTCAAATTCATTTTTTGTGTTTATTTTTGAGCCTATTTTAATTTATAAAGGGATTCTGCACACCTACAGGAAAATAGCTTTCTAACGGTATGCGTAGATTTTTCCTACGATACACGCGAGCTGAGAAAAAAGGTTTTAAAGAAACATGCTTGCCTATTAATATATAGATAGATAGATGAGAAAGTTTAGATGTATGGATGTATGGATGTATGGATGTATGTTTGTGACAAGTGAACGTGAAAAATACTGGTCGGATTGGGCTGAAATTTGGCATGATGATAGCTCACATTCCCGATTAACATATAGGCATATTTTTATTTCAAAAATCCTTTCGGGCTCCGCCCCAGTGGCTCTGGAGTTTCCCATGTTAACCTTATGAGAAATGGAATTATTGAATCTTAACAGCTGTTTCAATTAAACAAGTTGGTTATGTTCTGTGATGTTCAATAGCATTAAAGTTACAAGGATTACCAACAGGGTGCAGCATTATTATTTCTTTTACATTTATGACAACAGCTAATTTGCAACCAAAAGGTGAGTGAGCGTAGCGAACGAACTTCAACCTGGAGGCGAGTTAGCGTAGCGAACGAGCTAACCTGAAGGCAAGTGAGCGTAGCGAACGAGCTAACCTGAAGGAAAGTGAGCGCAGCGAACGAGCTCCAACCTAAAGGTGAGTGAGCGTAGCGAACGAGCTCCAACCTAAAGGTGAGTGAGCGTAGCGAACGAGCTCCAACCTAAAGGTGAGTGAGCGTAGCGAACGAACTTCAACCAGGATGTGATTGAGCCATGCAAACGAGATCATCTTGAAAATTAAGAAGTTAAACGGGGCAAAGCCCGCGGGTTACAGCTAGTTATTTATAACCCAACTAATCAAGGTCAGCTGTGCCCGTTCCGAAAAGCTACATTTTTTCTCAGGATCGAACCAGGGACTTTTCGATTCCTAGGCGAGCACTAATTACTCAGCTACCCAACTATTTTACAGTTATAGCTTCCAATAACAAATTAAAAATTAGATAATCTTTGTTAGTAGTATATAGTGGATACAAACATAAAAAGACAGCTATGAAGAAATTTAAACATCAATAACAAGTAAGGGAATTTATAATGAGTTGAAGTGATGCCGTAGCCCGTAATTGAAATAACAATTAGGATTAGTTAAAATATAAACATGTTGCAGGGGACTAGAAGTAATTTCTCCTTGCAGATTTTCAGCTCAATAAAAAGTATTGCTTTTGAACTGTAAGTAATTTATTCAATTAAAGTTCCTCAAGATGAAACTTGCTGGCTTAAGATGTTATCATGGAGCAGTGATGAAACTATGATTTTAACAAATGTGTTTTACAATGGTTTGTAATTTTGAACAGTCAGGTTCCCATTGCTTGGAGAAATTACTTATTTTATTTATTTAAAAAGTATTTATCATGTATTACAATCCAAAGTATTAGTCGTCATTTATAATTAATTTAATCATAAAGATCATTAACAGTTTCATTTATTTAAATAATAAAACGATTTACTTTGGGTGCATATAATAAACAAATTTGATTTTCATTAATCGCTGATTGCTTAATTTCTTTTGGAAAACATACAATAGAAGAAACTGAGGATTTTTTAAATTAATTTATTCAATTCGCTTAGCATTTTTACACAGATTACAAGTTATTAAAGTGTCAGAATCAAACCAGACATATTGTTAGTATAAAATAGAGTACTATTTAAGTAATTAATTAAAAACTTGTATAAAATCATATTGAGTTTGCTGCATCCATGTATAACATTGAGCTTAGCGTGTTTTATCTTGCAGGAACCTGGAGTAATTCTCATTGTTACTGAGTACGGTACAAGATTCATCATGTAAGATGAAATGGTGAGTTTAACGATGATTTGTATTTAGTTATTCTGTTAGTGTGTTACACTCAAACTCTGAATTCGGACAATGCCTATGAAACTTTTATACCCACTTCTAGATGTAAACAGTGTGAAATACCCACGTCTCGGAGTGAGCATTTTATTCAAACATTGGCCGATCAAAGTGAAATGCCTTGATCCCGTTGTGGGTAAACTGATTAACTCAAATGCCGAAGTCAAAATGTTTTTCGGCGATCGAGCATATCCAAAGCACCCAAAACACGATATGAGCAAAAGTGATTGCCCACGTCGGGTTGTGGGTATTTATAGTTAGTTTAACGCCAAATTCTCATTCGCGCAGGACATCCATAATGAAGACCTAAATAGAGAGCAGTTAGACCTACCTTTGTGCACTCGTCAAGAATGTTTTGACTTTGACATTTGAGTAGATTAGTTTACCCCCAACGCGGTCTGGGCATTTCTCTTCGGCCAATGTCTGAATTGGTGTATTTAACACTGTCCACATCGCGAAGTGGGTAAAATCTCAGACATTGTCCAAGTTCAGAGTTTGAGTGTAACAAACATATAATAAAGAGTTCTTTAGTTTCAGAGGTTTTAATTGAGAAGAGTGGAAGTGGATAATAAAGATCAATTAAATCGACATAATAATCAATAGGTGTATTGGCTTTAGAGCAGTTTGCCCCCCACAAATGTAAAATAGTTATAAGACTGAGATGTGTTTCATGTTTTCCTAAAATAGTAAATATTGGTGAATGATGTAATTCGATTAATTCTTTGAGGTTGGGATAAACAGTAACAGATTATTCAAGCTGTGAACGAATTCAAAGCTATAAATAGTGTGAAATGAATCTATCTATCTATATATTTAGTAGGCCAACATGAATTTTTTGATAATTGTTTTGAAGATGCCATGCTTCCGATGACCATGTTTAAGGTGTCATTGGTTAGGTCGTGGCATGCAGATATGCCATCAAGCAAAACATGTTTGAAAATCAACCAGGGCTCTGCCCCAGTGGCCTTCAAAGTTCCCATGTTGCTCTAAGGGAGAGAGAAAATGTTTGTGTACATTTGAACAGATGAATACTTTGAAATTTACACTAATATTTGAAACAGCTGGATCAATATCGAAGAAATAATTTTAGAAATAATAATAATTTTGTATCCAACATGTTTTGCATCTCGGAAAAGAATTTGATTATATCAGGAGGTGGGTAAGTAAAGTAGGATGGGCGGGTCCTAAACATTCTGGAAAACCCCATTGTTGTGTTAACAGGAATCTTGATATGTCGTCAGGCATGATTAGGAGTGACTGTAGGTAAAAGGAATGACTTTGAAAATCATTTGGAGGAAATGTGCAATACAATTAAAGGAGTCTTAGCAAAATTAGAAGGACAGGCCATAGCCAGTAGAGGCATGACTGTGAAGCATTTGATATGACGCTGTGGATGATGAGCCAGCAATGCTGTAGCCTACGGATGTGAGTTCTGGGGTGAGGATGCTAAGAAGATAAGATTGAAAAGAAAACTTTTGAGTATGCAAAGAAGAGTTTTGTTAAAAGTAGGGAAGTCATACATCACAGTATCGCATGATACTATTAGGGTTTTGACCGAAGCCATACCACTCAACCTGCTCATTGAAGAAAGGATTAGGATTTTGGAAAAAAAAGGTCGCGGGCAGGTTTACGTTTGAAAGCAAGAGTGCCAGATGAGGGGAGGACGTTAGATGAGTGGCAAATGCGCTGGGAGCAGATGAGAAAGAGAAGGAAACGTTCGTAAATATTCCAAACATCAGAAGAAGACTGGAACAAGATTGGGAGATGGGGCATGGAAAATCTCAAGGCGATTTGTGGAGATTTAACTTGATGGACGAGGAAGTATGCAGCTGCTCAAAAAAATAGAGACCATATGAGTCACGTATTGATGAATTGTCCACTTCAGAAGGCAAATAGGAGAGAACAGGAAGAATTCTAGGATAGGAAAGGTCTAGAGTCGATCAAATAAAACTTGATGAGAGACAAGGAAAAAATTGAGACTTTAGCAAAGTAGCTAGGGAAATAGGAAGAAACAAGGATACGTACAGGCTTTTAAATTGAAAAAAGAAACAAACAAAAACAAAGAAAGAAAATTAATGAAAGGACACAGTGTGTCTGAAGGAGGATTGAAAGTGTCTGAAGCCTGAGAAGAGAAGATTTTTCACAGGGAATTGGCAAATAAGTCCCAGACTTAAGCCAGAGGTGGTAGTGGTAGGAATGAGGGGGTTTGGTTTATCAATTAGGTTATCATTAATTTAATCAAAAGAGATTGAATCTTTTACTAACTTTAACAAAAAAACTCCATAGACAAATCACATTTAATCTGCGAACGTAATTATGCCTTTTACCAACTCCACCTTTAACAACAAAACCAAGAAACCGGAAAACGCCAAATAAAAAATAACAATACAAATCCTCCTTCTCCAGCACCAGGTTTGTTAATCAATATGTGGTTTTCAATGCCATAGGCATTTTTAGACTTTTTTTACAGGGTCAAAACCCTGTCTTTGTTATTGTTTAACCAATCTTTTTTAGTTAGCCTGTTGTCAAAAACTCTAGACCAAACCAGATTTATATGTTCTAAGTTTAGAAACAATATCAAAGAAGATTAAGAATTTTTACTATAACATCGAATGATATAAACCCATGCATGAAACATAATTAATGGCGATAAGTGTTATAGCACATTTCATTTTGTCACTGTGATGAACTTCAGATTGTAACTCTTTTGCAGATTACCAATGTCAGTGCTGAACGCAGCTTCACCATCAGCAGCCTACAGAAGGGAAGGGATTACTACTTTAATATATTTGCGATGAACAAAGATACCCAACTCAGCTTTCTTTATGCGAACGCAGCCTTTAAGTATGAGATGAAGCTACGGCCAACAGGGCTAAAGGATAACAAACCTGTCACTGTTAATATCAGGAAAATGGGAGGAAGAGCATTGTTTCGTTACAAGGTACGTTAAAACGTGTAGAAATCAATAAAAATTTAAAATGTTTTATTTTACTATAATAAAAACTATAATATTCAGGGAAACTTTATATGATCAAAAAGGTGTACCTATGTAAATTATCACCCCCCCCCCAAAGGGGTAGTTTGGGGGTAACTTGATATTTTCAAATCTAAACCGGCCCCTATCAAAATATACATAATTGTAAAGGTCATAATAAAAAAGAATGGCACAAACTAAAGGTCTCTCATCAATCCTATCAAAAGTTATGGTAGTTCAAAGTTTGAATTTTTTCTAAATCAAATAAAATCCTTATTTATGTAAATAAATTAAGAAAGGATACTTACTCATATGAAAAAAGTTAAAAACCTTGATTAAATTTTTTTAAATGCTCAAAGTCACAGGCAGTTTCCAGTCAGAGGTGACATGGCAAGGGTAGCGACCCTGCTTGACCTGAATAGCAATGTTTTGAAGACATTGCTGTTCCCCATCTAAGAACACGAACGACCCCCAACTTACCAAACTTACTTGTAAAGGTGAGGGCTGGTCAGGCAGGTGCCGTATCCACACTCCGCTGGCATGTGATGCCGTGTGGAGGCTCTGTGGTGGTGGAGGTGAGACTACGCAGACAGACTGTGCTGCCCAGGCTACTGGTGGAGGGATACAAGCTACTGCAGGTCCCCAACGTGTTGCCTGGACAACGCTACACTCTCATAGTCTTCGTGCCCGACGCTCGTCAGATGCGACAGATACTCGGGGTGGAGGTGAGACAGTGTTTATTCACGATATGATAACACCTTCTGTTTCACTTGAATAGTGTAGTTTAGTTACGAAATAGTTATTTGTGTAACTAGTGAGCAAAGTGGCACTTTGCTGCACACAAGAGCAATGTTTACACGAGAGGAATGATCTCGAGTGCAGCAAAGGCCTTTTGCACTCGTGTTACACAATATATTTTTCCTAAAGTCACTATAAAGCATATAATTAGTCTTTCAAACACTATACAACACGTTTTTAGGTTCAGCTGGCAACACAAAAAGGTGCCCTAGAGAAAGTAGTCCCCGGTCCATATCACTCCGCTATTTTTTCCTCGGCAAGCAATGTGCTCCGCGACTTGAGAAAATAGTTCCGTATTTTTTGGTAATTTGAATTGGTTTCCGAGCCTAAAAAAATGCTTTAAAGGTATTTTCTTGTTTATTAAGATCGTAGGAATGTTTTAAAAACGTTTAAAAGAAAAGTCCAGAAAGTTCAGAAATACCGAAACTATAAACACGAAATGACAGGTTAAATCGTAGTTATAATAATAGTCAATCAGCTGCTCACAGTATTATTATCTTTAAGTGTTCCCAACCTATTTCCAAGCGTGCACAGATTACGTGCATAATAGAACCACACTGTTTTGTGTTGTTTCGTTGGAATCCTGATGTGCGCCAAAGTATAAACCGTACGACAAAGTATAAGCCATACGGCAAATTATAAATATGCAGCAATTAGCAGCTTTCTGTACTATAAACAGTACAAGGAAGCCAACTTGGGTTTTTAAGAAGTAGGAGGTTCTAGGGTCCTCCCCCTGAAAAATTTGGTATATTTTAAAGCAGTTTGGTGACTTTCTTAATCCATTTTTATGTCTAAGACTGCATCCTAAAAAACTTCTGTTAATTTTTAAGGACAAAATTTATGTTTAAATTTATTTTTCCAGGGTCCAATGAGGGAAACTACCATACATGAAACATAAAACTAGTAAACTGTTAGTTAACTGCCAATGCAGCTTCATCTAAGATTTCATAACTTGAATAACACACCTTAACATCCTGGTTGTGTCATGACGCCTTGTATTTGTGTTAGGTCCTAGCAACTACGAAGCCATCGCTGATGCCACTGCTACCAACAGAAGCTATGGTCCACGAGTACTCGGAGATGAGAACTTGCGAGTCTATCACTGTTGCTTGGATGCCTGTCACCACACAGTCAGTCAGGTATTGTGATTAGGAAATAATATGGATAGGGAAGGCTTGGTAGCAGTGCAGTTAAGAGTGCTTTTTGTGGTCTGAAGATTTAAAACTGTACCCTCTATTGACGAATGTTCAACACGTTGAACAGGACCAGCTGCCTAAATCACTCTAAAACGAAACAAAAAACTAATAATGGAGTATTATTGGGTGAACTTGGTTTTGGCTCATGACACTTGTATTATTTTTGCTTGGCCAAATTCAACCCAAAATGTATTTGTCTTTGGTGTATTTATATGTCCCATTACAATCACGACAACTTTTCACAACCCTAGTGTTGTAGAATATAATTTAGCCTGGTATTCTCCTTGAAAATTCGATATACATTGTCAATAAGAAAATGGGATTTAATCATTTTTATCATCATAATACCAAATGAATATGCCAAAAAGTGGTTTGAATGATTGATTTCAAACCCAAAGGTCTATTCTATCTTTTCTAGAAAGATGGACCTTCAGTTGGGTTTAGAAATATTGGGTCACAGAGTTATCACATATTCAATGGTAACTAATGCACCTGTTGTTCGAATTCTAGCAATTGCAAAGTATTACAGAGAGAGAGTCATTATAGAGTCATTTGATTCCTGATGTAAAAGAGTCAACTCCAAGATAATGTAATCAATCACTCCATTCCAGTTATCGAAATTGAAAACGAACTCACTCTGAAAACGAACGCTCTTGTGTGTGCTATGTGTTTACTATGAACAGCTGTAATTAAAACAAATTATTTGTCTGTTTAAGTAAACAAAATCTTTTCTTCATAAGAATTACATTGGGATTTTGATGGCCTGTGGGGCAAAGCCCGAGGACTTTTATCACAGGAATTGGTGAAAGGGGGTGTCTACACAAAAAATACTTTATTTTGACACGTCGTTTCCGTTTGTAAAATTCCATTCATTATTAACGGAGGAGTAGTGTTTCGTAGAAATCGCCTTCATGTATTATATATAAGGATTAAGCCCATCAGTCTCCAAGATAGAAAAACCGTGCTTTAACAACTTGTCCAACTTCATCCTCCTGAATCATTAAGAAATTCTTTACATTATAATCAATTTTTTATATCAATATTTTAGGAGATTTTTTTATAACAAGCCACTCTAAAGACACATTTACATGAAGCCTGTTGACATCACCTGAGTTGGTTCACCTGTGAGTAGTGATGGTTGGTTACCTGGCTCAGGTAATTGAAAAAATACATTAGAGGCAGCTAGGTAACATACCTGCCTACTGGCCTCGTGTACATGCGGCTTAAGAAACTCTTACATTTTACAACACTTCACAAAGGAATGAACTCATAAATGTTCATACTTCTAGCTTTATACAACGTTCTAAATAAAACCAATGATTTGCAGGTATTGTGTATCTGCTTCTCCAGTTCCAGTGGCAGAGTCGGAGGCACATTTCCACCCAAGACCCAACCAATGCAACCTCGACTACAGACTCCGCACACAGCTTGACTTTGCCGTCAAACATTGTCAGGACTTCTCAGCGAACGATCACAGGTTTGCAGCTTGCAATAAAACATTAACAAATGTATTAGTGAATTTATTTTTGTCTGAAGTAATTGGAGATGGATACTGTCCTACAATTTGAGGTTGCAATGTTTTTATGTCGTGAATTGAAATATCGCATATAAAATATAAGCATGTTTTAAAGTGTCCATGTCTCAATGACATCTGTGAAATTATTAAAACGCTTTGCTATAAATATCTTTAACTCATCTAGGCCTAAGTTTTACTACTTTGGAACTCTGTTTGCAGGAATGTTCTAGTACAGACAATATCAAAACTTCGTCCTGGCAAGGAATACCTAATACAAGTCACTGTCAAGAAAATCAAGGGAAAAGCATTGTCCTACGACCTGTTACGAGCGAGGACGAAATCAATTTGTTAAGTGCAAGTGTATATTCTCAATTGATGTATAGACTGATTTATTGATTGTACTTAATCCTATCTATTATTATTAGTATTATTTATTGAACAACTTAGTGCCAAACAGTTTTTTATTTGTTATATTTAGTTATTGTAAGCAGCTATTTGTGAATAAGTGAACTATTTTTGTACTTTATTATAATAAGTTTTTAAAGTTACGTTGTGTGATTTTATTTCTCGACAGCAAGTTATCCATCCCTCGCTGGAATAAATATAATATGATCATATATAAGAAAGCACATAAACCTAAACTAAATTAAATGTCTACATTGATACAGCATTGATTTTTAAATAATTGGAGCTATCTTAAGTAACTAATAAAGCTTACAATAGTCAGGTACATTTATTTATGTTATGGTTCATTGGTCAGCCAGACACAAGATAGAAGTAAAAAATATTTGGAATTTTAAGGTAAAAGTTTTAGCTGTGTCCATCAGTTTTAAAATAAATATACCCCCAAAACATTGCCAATTTCAAAATAGAACGCCATTGCAATCCTGCTCCCCTCAATTCATGAAGTTCAACCCATTATCATTATTGGCTGGTGAGTTCCTAATCAGAAACTCTCTATCATCAACAAGTTTTTTGAACAAAGACGAGATTATTTTCTTAGTTACTTACTTACTCCTGTGGCCATTGAAAACCAAGGCAGTGGAAAACCATGTGCCTCCAGGATCCTCTGTCCTCTGCCAGCTGCAGGTCTGCTCCCATACTCCTTTGTAACTTCGTCAATCCATCTCATCCTTGGCCTTCCCAATGGTCTCCTTCCCTCTGCCAGGCCCAACAGCCGACTTACGAGTGCCGCTCGTGTCACCGCTACGCAGCGCCACTAGTTATTTAATTATTATTATTTTCCTTCCTTTTTGTTTCTTCTTACTTTTATAATGTTTATAAATATCTTGCTTCTTGATTTGCGTATTTACTCATTTATTTTAGCGAATAACAAACAATTTTGTGTTACCATGGAAACCAGATATCACCAAAAATCAGCTGTGGTAAGGTAAACGAACATTTTTTTTCTACATTATCCTTATATATAATTCTGTAAGACAAAATGTTTACCAGAAAATTGTGGACGTCTGGTAAGTCGCAGAAAAGTGGGAGGGGTCTTAAATTAAAGGTCTTGACCCCAGGGACTCGGGAAAAATAGCAGAATTCCCATAAAGTTACCACAAAACGAGGTATAACGTAAAATATCCACCATAAGAAATGCATAGGGACTGAAAAACGTCTGCATTCTATCAGCTGTTACTTATTTATTTGCAATGTTTACATTTATTCCGAAAGTCAATGTTGGTAAATAATGTTTAAAAAAGAATTGTATTTGTTTAATTGTTTTGTTTTATACCGTACGTTTTTATAATGAGTGAAGTAACTAGACAGGGTAGGGGAAGACCTGCAAGACGTAGAAGAGTGTCCAGGAATTCAACAGACTTAAGAAATGCTGAAAGAGAACGTCATGTAGGGCCTAACTGTGAAAGAAATCCAGAAGCTGGTTTACAATCTGTCTTTAGAAGAACGCTGGAAAATGAGCTAAATGTTGTTTCTCACAATCTAGGTCCTCTTAACAGCACTTGCATGCATTGTGACGCATTTCACTTCGCAGAGGAGGTCACAAATGGACATTTAAACGCATTTTACCACAATGGACTAATTAACATGCCACAACCTCAAGTAAACGACGAACTAAAAGAACTGTTTTTACACGATTCGAACTTCATAAAAACATAAGGCAATACCACAGTGCAATGGCTTTTGCGTTGCTTTCCGCTAAACAAAAAGAGATTCCGGGAAAAGGACCTTATACTGTTTTAAAATTTAGGGACGAATTCATAGATGTATTTCTGACTTACTACCGCGATATGGGGAGTTACCTTCATATGGAAAATTGTGTCTAAACTAGGGGCTATGGCTCCTATAGGCCACTAGTCTATATATATAAAAGGCAAAGCCCTCACTGACTGACTGACTGACTGACTGACTGACTGACTCACTCACTCATCACTAATTCTCCCACTTCCCATTTACCTAGGAGGCTGAAATTTGGTACACTGATTCTTTAGGCATTAAATAGGAAAACTAAGTTGTTTTTATTCTGATCGGACTCTCGGGCTCCGCCCCAGTAGCTCTGGAGTTTCCCATGTTAACCTTATGAGTACTGATATTTAAATGGAATTAATGAATCTTAACAGCTGTTTCAATTAAACATGTTGGTTCTGTTCTATGATGTTTAATAGCATTAAAGTTACAAGGATTACCAACAGGGTGCAGCACTATTATTTTTTTTAATTTATGACAACAGCTAAATTTCAACCAAAAGGTGAGTGAGCGTTGCGAACAAACTTCAACATGGAGGCGAGTTAGCGTAGCGAACGAGCTAACCTGAAGGCAAGTGAGCGCAGCGAACGAGCTCCAACCTAAAGGTGAGTGAGCGTAGCGAACGAACTTCAACCAGGACGTGATTGAGCCATGCGAACAAGCTCACTTATGAAGTTAAACGGGGCGAAGCCCGCGGGTACAGCTAGTTACTTATAAAAGTACACAACTTTTGATTTTTCTACGTATGGAATCTATTGAACTTTATAGTAGTGTTATTTGGTGTCTGGATTAATCTTGGAATTTGTATATCAAGTTTACTTTAAAAAATTGTTTTTAAAAGTTTTAATTCTACAAACTTTATAATTTTAGTTTTTTTTTTTTACTTTTACACTTTGATTATCTAATTACCACTTTTCTGTAGACAATTTTACTGTGAACAAAATGGTGAAAGAATTATTAATTTACTACATAAGGTTTTCTTTCTACGGTAATTAGAGTAAAAGTCTACAAATTTGGTAAAATTAATTGCCGACAGAGGGTGCTGCAGGCAGCGCATTAATTCCTTCCCCAATGGGTTAAACCCCCATTTTCAAATCCTTTTCTCTCAAATTGTCAAACATAATCATCTTGCACTAGCCATTGTCAAAATTAGTTCACACAAAGAAACATTTAGATTTACAAAAATATACAAACGTGCGAGGCCAACCAAGGACAAAACTGCTGGAAACTAGACAATTGATTGATTGATTGATGATTGATTGACGACAGGTTAGTAACCTATTATTTTTATTATTTAATTAACCCTGGAGGCAAATTATAAATAAATTGTACAGTTACGTTTTTGTGTTATTGACTACTGATGACATAGTTTGTAATAATAATAATAATAATAATAATAGGTTAAATACCTTATTGTTTACGTCCTCAATCCAAGTCGTCTTTTTATAATGACTATAGTTTCGGGGCCAACAGCCCCTTTGTCAAATTTTCTGTCTTGTTAATTATTGTTAATAGCATTGGTCATTGTTGAAATTCACATATAAGAAGGGTATCGGCTAACATGAATCAGTCAGTCAGTGTACCGGTACGCACAACGATATAATCACTTTTGTTTAGGCCGGCCAAAAGTATAAATTCTCCATGTTACGTGTAAATATAAATGTTTCGTGTGTCAGTGTGGTACTTGTGAATTTCAACGATGACCAATGCTATTAACTGTAATTAACAAGACAGAAAATTTTACAATGGAGCTGTTGGCCCTGAAACTATAGTCATTATAAAAAGAGGACTTGGATTGAGGACGTAAACAAGGTATTTAACCTATTATTATTATTATTACTCATTATCTTTCCAGGAGGCAAACATGGATAGACATAGTTTGAATAAAAAACCAAATAGATTTCAAGAACCCCAAAACCACATTGATGTTTTTGTAGGCTATGCATCAACTGTGACCAAAGACCTTATTGATGTCCTGCAGGATTTGGAAAAAACTAATTATCAGATTGGCAATAGCTTTGACTATGGTAGTCTTTTCAATGAATTGTAAAAGATTATTAATTTGATATAATATACTTAATGATTCAGTAACAGTATTCTGTTTTATTAAAGGACTTTTTTAATGAACATTTTGGCAGTTATAGTGAGGGATTTCAATGTAAATATTGAAAAAAGTTTTAAATACAATTATTTTTAAATTTGTTTAATCATTACAATAACAATATCCGGGTTATCAAGGTTAAATATTTTTGACTTCATAACTACAATCTTTAACATCAAAAGTGATGTAATACTACTGTAATGAAAATGACTTCCGTCACATCTGATCCAAATATTTTAGCAGCCAAGCAATTCTATGACTCATTCACAACTGCGTACAAATATGTCGTCTAAAACAATAAACAATCTGTTTTGTTAACTCAGTAAATAATAGATCAATGTTTGATATTATGAATTGGGGGCGTGTATAATAAAGTGGTCATATAAATAAACCATCAAGATAGAGTTGAATTATATAACAGTGTCACAAACTCAGCATTTTAGTTTGTTATACTCCATTGAGCAAAGATGATGAGAGTGCTACTTCTACCAGTTTTACTTCTTGGTATTATTACTCCAGGTAAATAAATACTATTTTTAAATTTACGTATTAGGATTATTTAGTTTATCTAAATTCATAACAATAAAATACTCTTTGTTGACTTCTACTACTCTTGAAATGACATTTGTGCATAATAATACTTCATTCATTTACTGGGTATTTGTTTCTACTTACTGGTTACATTAAGGTTCTGATTTAGTTCTAAGGCAGATTGATTTTTACTCTGCTGCCATTTGGTTACAATGATCAATTAATTGAGACGAGTGGTCGTCCAGTGGTTGAAAACTCAACCAAAAATATTTAATGTACACACATTTACTATTGGATACTGAAGTAGACATTCCATCTATATGGACCAGCTGTCACAGTTTTTTAAATTAAAAAACATGTAGTTGTGTCAGGCAGTCACTGAATGCGTGTCTAAAATCATACTTTCTACCTTATTTTTTGTTTCTGACAAAGTTCATAACAGTTGCTACAGCTCACAACAAGACATTCCATAAGTTTGAGTTGTTAAAAAAATCATGTATTCGACAGAAATTAGCGCAATCTGTTGGTGGCTCACATCAACTACGACGAATTTAATTTAAAGACTGGCGGCAACTTTAACATGGGGATGGAATGACTAGTTGTAAGTCAATGGTAAAGGCTTCTCTTGTTCACCCCTAAATAATGTAATAATCTAATTCATGTAAATAAAACATGTGATTGT